CATACTGGAATTTTCTTATACAACCAGCTCATGTTTCAATGCCTACCAGACATCTCCTCAGAGCTTCTGACTGAAGTAATGCTTCTTGACGCTATATGTAGCCATGTTGTGATTGTGTTCTTGCCACAGAAAGCGCAAACTACGTCGTCTACATATAGCAGCAAGAAGCAGTAGTCCAGTCAGCTCTGTAGGTAAGAGTTTTTACTGGTGGTGTAGAAGAATATTCTAAGGCCAGTCACCAATTTAATTTCTTGGTTAACGGATTCGCCCGCTTCATTTTTTCTGATTTGCAAATAAAGTAAAATTCAGAATCAACTGCAAAATGCTCATATTTTTCCCTGAACAGTTGAAAACAGTCCTTTTCTTCCTAGTTGTTTCAGTTATTCCATCTTTCAATGCAATGGTATCATTAAAAGTTCAAAATTCATTGTTTAAATTTTGAATCAGCCTGGTGTGTTGACTTCATGGCTCCTATTGTACCATTTTGGACCATAATAGGATGCCTAGGCCTGTTTTTATTACCTTCGCTAAGAAGGTTATGTTTTCAGGGGCGTTCGTGTATGTGTGTGTGTGTGTGTGTGTCTGTCTGTCTGTCTGTAAACACGATAACTTGAGAAGGCCTTAATGGATTGTCTTGATACTTGGTAGGTGGGTAGGTCTTGATGAGACCTCAAAATGATTAGATTTTGGACCCCCTAGCGGCTTGTAATGGTACTGCAGCTGAACTTCTGGCTTTTATCTCTCATGATCTAGACATGCTATGGTGATGAAATGTGGATGGTAGGTAGCTCTTGTGCTGGGAAAGAAGTGACGTGAGTTTAGGCCCCCTAGCGGCTTGCTCTGGAACTGCAGGGATATATTCTTTAAAATATTCAAAAGGGAATAACTCAAGAACCAGTTGACGGATCGTCGTGGTTTTTGGTATGTAGGTAGCTTACGTGATGCTTAATATAATTATGTGACAATTATGCAAATATGGATGTAATTTGCATAATTTATGGGGAAATTCTATAAATCATCTGCATTCCATGATAGGACAATTGAAGCTTGTGACATTGGTAATTGACAACAAGAGAAACACAGGAAGATATTGATTATGTTAATAATGACTTAATTTGCATAATTAATGAGAAAATTTTATAATTATGTAATGATAACTGCCTGGAATTTCATACTTGTGGTATTTGAAAGTTAAATTGAGGTGAACATCATTAAACATAACTTATTCAAATCAGGACCTCATTTGCATAATTTATTAGGAAATGCTAGAATGCATTGTTTGTTAATATAAGACTGTCTTTTGGTTGAGATTATGATAAAATGATATAATTCATGAAAATTAGGTTCCTATTTCTTTAATCAGGGGGGAATAATCTAATCTATAATTTGTCAGTCATAAAGCCCGCTCCATTATTTTTCTAGAAAAATCCGTTAACCAAGAAATTGAATTGGTATGGCCTAAGAAAAGAGTTTTCCCTCTGGCTCTTACATGTGGTAGAAGATGTAGAACTGCATCTCCCGTCAGTGTTCCCACGGCCAGCGCCACCAGGAAGCACAACAGGAACTGGTACACTCTCTGTTCCATGAAGGGGAGAAGCACGATTCCCAGAACAGCCAAGAGGCTGATGACAGTCACAGCCAAGATTCCATATCCCCAGACTGTATGGACAGATCAAACAAGTTAGTCTAATGTCTACAGAAAATGTATCAAACAAGAGGCTAACAACATTTTGGGAAAGTGAGTATGTACATGTGTAAAGGGTTGACTTACATAATGCATACAACTTTCTATTGGAGCCTCTGGTAGTTGTTACACACACTTTTTATGGCTTCACCACAAAGTGGTGAAGACATATTGTGTTCCCTCATGTTTCTCCTCCTGCCATTTCTTTAAATGGATTTATCTCTGCCATTTTTGGGCCAAATAACACAAAATTTGGCAAGAAGGTAGAGTGGGCAAATACCCCGACGCATTTTTTTTCATTTTTTTGAAAAATTGTTTTATTTGTTTTTTTTGGCCATTTTCAGGCCAAAAATATACATTTTGAGATCTGGAGCTCTGGTACTAAAACCAAATGACCTTAAATTTGGTATGGGGATACCTTGGACATATGTCTACAAAACCTCATTCAAGCTTTCAACATACACCACTTTAAAATTGGGGAAAATAGGGCTTTTTGGCTATTTTCAGACCAAAAATGTACATTTTTGGCTCCTGTGCCCTAATATTAAATCCGAATGACCTGAAAGTCGGGATGGGGATATCTTGGACACATTTCCAAAGAATGTCATTCACGCTTTTGACATACACCACTTTAAAATTGTGTAAAATAGGGCTTTTTGGCTATTTTGGGACAAAAAATGTACATTTTTGGCTGTTGTGCCCTAATATTAAATCCAAATGATCTGAAATTCGG